TGGTGAAATAAAGATAGGCCACTTGGATATTTTGGCGACGCTTTTGTTGCGCTGGAATTCACAATCCAGGGCCAGCGATCTGATTGGTGGCTCTGGGCGACTAGATGGCTTTTGATTGGTGGCCCTGCCATTGCCACCTCCAATAATGCATAGATGCGCATCATGTTTTAGAGTGCATGTATGGTCGGCCCATTTGGATGCCGACGACACACACAGCCATGGCTCGCATCCGCCCCGATCCCAAGGACCGCTTCGTGAACAGCGACGACAAACGGGCCTGCATCGAGTGCTTTGCCACCAACAATCACATGATGGGCTGTACGAAGGACCCCAAGAACCGCGCTCAGTCTGCGATGGACCCCACCAAGCTGCGCCTCGCCCGGCTCGAGTCCGCCGCCGCCGATCACGAAGCGGCCACCGGGCAAGATGTGTACGACTGCGATGCTGCAGCTCGAGAAGCAGACGCTGGCGAGGATGATGAAGCCTTCGAGGGCGACGAGTCCGTCGCGCTTAGCCGTCCCGACCTCAAGGCGCACCTGGACGAGATGTGGCGGAGCGTCTCCAACGCTTCCACGGATGTACGGCGCCCGTGTGGCGCAGTCGGCGACCTAGGACAAGACCAAGTGGCCCAACGACTCGTTCATGCTCCCAAGTGCGCTGCTCAAGGCGGGTACCCCAACGATGCTCGACTTCTTTTTCTCCAACATGCAAGTCTTCGTCAAGCGTCCGTTCTTGTTTTACGGCGACGTCATGGGCGACTTTGGCTTGAAGTGCGTTGCGTGTGGAGAGTAAGGATGTCATCTCTACGGCTGGAACGACTCGTGGAACGTCGTCGTTGGTGTGGACAACATGACGCTGGCCAAAGTCCGCTCGTTCAAGCACCAGACTGCCCCGTTGCTCTCAAAAATAACAAAAGCGCTTTGTCTTCTCCGCGCTCCGCGTCCCCAGCGCCTTACAGACAAAGTGAAAAAAGAGCGTGAGTCAATTTCCCGATGCTCTCGCCCGAGTATGGAAGGATTCTAACGCCGAGGGGCGCGAGGCTCTGCACAAAGCTGCACTTGCTGCTGCCCCCTCGACGACCGCCATCGTCGCGCCACTGTCCGATCGTTGCCACATTTATTTATTCGTAAACCGCTCAAGTATTTGTATTCCCTGTGCACTCACTGTCTAGTGCTTGGCAGTGTTTGGTGTCGATAGCTCGTGCCCTATGACCGTCCCTTTGAAAGGCATTTGTGATTGGTTAGCGCTGCGGTCCGAAAACCCAGGGCCAGATAATTGATTCGCTGATACTACCCTAACTCGACCAGAGCCACGATTTTGATTGGCTGTTCAGGGAGGCTGATTGCTTATCGCCAGGTCCGTGGCGATTAGCCGCCGTCCTTTGTTGCGTCTGCCCTCCCGGCGCCATCCGAATGCGCGCTGCCGAGTCCGGAAAAGATCCGGGCGAGTACGGCTCGAATCCCAGTTTTATTGCCATCTCGCCGATATTTTGTGGTGTTTGGAGACCCGTGAGGCAATCCCAATGCAAGGG